AAACAAAAAGAAACACAAAAAATAAAAAAATGCAAATAAAAATACCAACTGGAAAGGAAGATAAACACCAATAATGAAAAATATTTCAGTATTGGGTAGTGGAAGCCACGGTTGTGTATGCGTGGTGAACAGTAACAGCTATAATCATACAAGAAATTATGAGATGTTCTTAAGAATTGATATCAGTAAAAAGTTTGAGCATTGTGGATCAGATCAAATAAAGTATAATTATATTTTAATAGTTTACACACAATGACACCAATAACAAAACTTATCATTGTGTGTAAACTATTAAAATATAATTATACTTTATTTGTTCTTAAGAATGTTTATAGTCAAGATGATCAGTTAATTTGATTCAACTACACTAAACAATCATAAAATAAACATTTCAGGTTTTTTTTATTGTCAGCACTAATGCAGTGTTTGTAGTGGTAGTGTGAGTAATCATGCATAATACAAAATTTTTTAAGATGGTGATAGTGGCGTTGACAAACAAGATTGTCAGTTAAATAGTGCCGAACAAAGAACAACCACAAAAATTAATATTACATGATGGTTAATTACAGGACAATTTTGTAATTATCATAGTGCTAATATAGTCGGACCCAGTAGATATACAAAAGAAGGAATAGAGTAAAGTACAAAAAAGTAAGCCAATGATAATAATTTTAAGTAGCTAAGTATGTATAAGAAGGTTGTTCACTATAGAGTACAAATAAGAGAGTGTAAGGGGGAAATAACAAGGGCCTAAATTATGCTATTAACAACAAAGCAAGACATAGGTTTCACGCTTAACATTGTCTGTGTCACTTAGAACACGGGCCAAATATGGTATCGTTGAGTTCCTATACTTGGTTGTACGAGCATATATCATTTTGTACTGAAACAGCATGATCAAACATACATAGCGTTCTGTTGCTAATGCTGTATTGAACTGTGGGAATAAATGAGAATAATATTCTGTTGGAACACATTGTCTGTATCACATCTCCACAATAGCAAACTTGTGAACACTAATCTTTAAATGGTTAACATTATTCCCCTCACAGAAAATTTATATAACAAAGTCATCTGAAGAATGTCATCTTTCTTAAATCTATGATAAAAAAAAACAGCACACACAACGAGGTAATTATGATTCACTTTAATGCTGGGATGAATAAATCTACTCCATCAGCATATCGATAATTCCCTTAAGTAGATAGTTGTTCTATGTTGATGGCATGTCTAATGAGTCGAAAGAAGGAAAGATTTGTGTAAAATGAGAGCACTTTTTTATTCATTGATGGAAGTGTACAGCTGTCAGCAAAACATTGTTGTATTCACCCGTTGACACCAACTAGCCTTTATATTACTACTACTACTACTATTACGACGACGGTAAAATACCAGAGACTTGGTGAAGGTATCGTTGTATGGGTAAATTATGTACACCTTAGTTTCAAACCACCATTTGCACATATCTTTTGTGTTGTGCTACTTCTGCGCTTCGTATTGTGTTTGTTTGTCTTCCTTTTCACGTCTCCCATGTATCTCCGCAACGCTGAATCACTCGCTTTCTTTAGAATTAGATCTATCTCTCTGCTATTTGATATTTTTATGGCAATGGACGTCTCTTTATATACTACTAATAAATCTTATCAGTAGCACACGCCACATTACTACTACAAGAGACAAATCAATTTATTACCCTGCTTCACAGTAATAGAAAGTGATAATTACCTTTCCCAATATTATTCCTGGTTAACTTAACTAAAATCCAACTTGAAATTATAAGTTTCTTAGGGATTTCGACCAATTCCACGTAGATTTCATTATGAACCAACATCAGTCAGAGACATATTGAACAGGATGAAGGAGTTGACAGGTGTTTCGTCCCGTAGCATTGCGTACCCATGACTTCATCAGGAGTCGAACCTTGGGCCTTTAGATCAAGCGGCCAAGATTGTTGACTTCTCCTCAGCCACCATGTGAGGACGAAGTGGATGCTCATGGATGACATCGGTCGGTAGTGGTGGTAAATCGTGCATTCTTAGTAGTCAGAATTCATGGGGCCATTAAATTCCGACCTAAGTGGCTGAATGGGCAACGAGCTGGTCTCGTGACCTGGACGTCCCACGTTCGACTCCTGGTGGAAGAATCATGGGTGAGCAGCATATTAGGATGAAACAACTGTCGAGTGCTCCATGGATTCTTATCTGATTCTGGCTTGTGTCTAAATTTATACTGAAATTCAGTTTGCATGGAGGATTTCATCATGAGCTGACATCAGTTAGAGAACCACAGGAAAACCTGGGAGTACTGGACAGCTGTTTCGTCCTAGTTTGGGATTCTTCAGCAGTACGCACCCACAGGGGTGCTGAAGAATCCCAAACTAGGACGAAACAGCTGTCCAGTACTCCCAGGTTTTCCTGTGGTTCTTTAACTGATGTCAGCTCATGATGAAATCCTCCATGCAATCAAACAAAATCCCTACAAAACCAATACTTGGAAATTCAATTTATTGATTTTTGTTCTGTAACTCTGTATGCATTCCGAAAAACTGTATTTGTTTTCCACTATCGGTGGAAATTGATTTGAGTTATTTGCATATTTCACGAATACTGTCATTATTGTTATTGATCTGTTCATTTATATTCATAAGGTCAATTATTGTTATATTTTAATCTGAATTATATTTGGTTAAATATTCTGCGGGTGGGGCGGTGTGGTTCTATTGACAGCATTATTTTGCATCAACTCTAAGCATCACTGATTTGCTTTTTTAACTAACTAACGGATTAACTCAGTTTTAGTTCGCAGGCATATGAATTCATCAGAATTCTTAATTCCATGTAATCATTTGTTTTCAGTTTTTTTATCTACTTCGGTTGACCGAAACTTTCATCAGTTTCTTGACATTGTAGATCTTTATGTATGGGAAAAATTGTTACACACTACCTCACTTACTAAGGATTATCGTTTTCGATGAAATCCTCGCCTTATGATTTAGGGAACGTCTCATATTGGAAAAGATTTTCACTATTAATCAGTTACTACTAATCCGTATCACTTGACATTATAGCTTGACTCGTACTACACAGATGTTTAGTGTGTGTGTGTGTGTGTGTGTGTGTGCGTGTGTGGTTGTATTGCTGAGTATTCCCAGTTTCTAAGTAGCACAAGAAAAGACCTAAATGCCGAAATAAAACAGATAGAAGAAGCATTGGTGTTGAATAACTATCCTATAAAATTCATTAGGAAGATCATTGAAGGCCAAAAACAAAATAAAAAAAAATAATTGTGAAACTAGTAATAATAACATAAATAAGAGAGAATATAAGTCATCCACAGTTATACCATATAAAGAGGGGACATCTGAGACCCTACGTAGGATTCCTAATAAAGCAGGAATTAGGGTGGCATTTAAACCTACAAACTCACTCAGATAGGACAAGCTATGTAGGCTAAAAGACCCGGTGGACCCAATTAGACAAAATAATATGATTTACAAAATACCCTGCAATGACTGTGAATGAGGTCAACTACATAGGTCAAACTAGTAGGCCAGGGGTAGTCAGATTGTCAGAACACATGAGTTTAGACAAGGTAAGAATGGTTGACCCTGAAAAGATAAGTAATTTAGAAAAAAGCTCAGCAATTGCAATGCATGCATTAACACACAACCACACAATAAGGTGTGTGGGATAGGGTTAAAATTCTAAAAAGTAATCTAGGTAAGTGGAGAGAGAGAGGTTGATTACTGAATCCTTCTTCATCGAGTCTACACTCAACACATGCAACAGAAATGACTCAATGCAAATACCAGAAATATGGAAAATAATTATTACCGCCGGTCAAATCAGAAGAGGATAATAAATAATCTTAAAATCCAAGTTCAATTCAAACACATCACAACATTCTGACAAGTCACTTATTTTGACTATAAAAACACTCGTCTTATTTTCCATCTGATTGTAATTGATCAATAACACTCGTACTTTTATATCTGAATGTACATTATCTCATATTGAATTTTATTCCAATATCTAATCGATTCCACACATGTATATAAGTGAAGAAAGTTGTGTAACTTGTGCGTCGGTGGCACAGTGGTTAGGACTCTCGCCGACCATGAAAATGGTCCGTGGTACGATCCCCTGCGGACAGACACCTGATATCTATGGTCGGTCTGCAAAATTTGGGCTACCGATATCACATGCTGAAAATTCCATATCTGTACCAAAAAAATACGGTGTAGAATCAAGCTGTAATCAAAATAAAAATAAAATAAATATGATTGTGAGCAATAGTTTGTGCTCAAAACGTCATCAGTTAATATTACTGTACAACACCTTGTGATTTATCAAAATAAAATCTTATCCATAATTGAGTTACTCTCTACCACAGTGCCCAAGTTTCATACTTATATCAATAATGCACACTCTGATATGAAATCTCATCTGAGTAGCATTTAATCAATATCTGTTGCTAAGGTGCACAGTACGAAACTGTTAATTGACCTCTCAGTGTTGGTCTATAAGCCAGCTAGTATATTGCCATATGAACAACAACTACGTGTGCGTGTTATTTCAATGAAACCAGAGTTATTGAGGCTTGGCTAAATCTTGGCATAATACTATAATATTATTAGTACTCATTCATTCCTTATGTCTTCGCAGTAGAGTTTAAGGCTTCATTAGCACATGTGCATTGCAATCGGTCCTCTGCTATCACTCCAACTTGGCTGTTTATTCCCCATAAGCTTTCATTCCCTTCTCCCATTATCTTCCTAACTCAATCCTCGAATATCAAACTCATCGCTACGTATTCAAGTTTCACTCAAGGGTCTGCAGTGTGATGTCAGCATATGTCCAGTCCATTTCCTTTTGTGTAACACTAACTAGGCTTTACAACATGATACATCTACTGTCTTCCTTATTTCTGTTATTGTTATTATCTCTCCCCTCAATATGTATATACAAATATCTTACATATTTTTTTTAATTCTGTTCAAGGTTACCTCATCAAAATTACAAAAATATGCTAAAGAATGGTTATCGAAAAGAGCTGAAGAAAAGCTGACTGATTCACCAATTCATATTATGGAATGCCAATTAGCATCACTGCGACGAGAAATCAGTCGATTAGAGCATGAAAATGAGACATTGGCTTCTGGTTTACTTACAAGTAAAACATCAATGCATGAACAAGTTGATCGAGTAATGTTATAACACTGACTTTTTATTAAATGCTTTTTTTAATTACCTAACTATTTTATTTTCCTTAATTCTTTTTAATAAACTGCTCTAATCATAATAAGATAAGATAGTGAGTATTAAAATAAAAGTGGAAGGGAGAAGAACTTTGTTTAACCTAGCTAGCGTGGTCACGTCTACTAACTTGTTGTGCTGCTGAGGGGACACTTTTCTTTGAGATGTCATTTCAGTGTAATATTTTGTCAGTCCAGTGTATTTAACTCTAAATAAAGACTAGTCAGGTGAACTTTAGCGTTCCCACTTAATGTATCACTTAGGGAGATGATGGTGTTATATTCTCGTGCCTTGACTGTTAAATATATTAATGTAGGACTTTGCAGAAGAGTTTATCAGTTCAAATTATCACATTTCGAATGAGTAGTCAGTGGTCGAATTATAGATTTTTCACCAGCTTCACGAGAGGCTCGGTTTTCATCCCCAGCACATGCACTCCTAAATCTCGCCGAGCTTTTTACCTGATAGTATAGCTAAGAAAAAAGGGGGGAGGATAGGTGTGATACTTCCAACCTGACTCCATGACGACCAGTGGTGTCCGTCAAGGATGCCCATTATCTCCTTTTCTATTCAACTTTATCATAGATGTGTTAATGGACTTAACCCTAGGTGACTTCAGCGACTCAGGGATTGACTTGCTACCAGGGAATAATCTCGTTGACTTGGAATATGCAGACGATATAGTCCTTCTAGGCGAAGACGCTGACGAAATGCAGAGTCTTCTGAACACACTGAGCCGCAATCTACGAATGTTTGGCATGCGATTCGCTCCCGCCAAATGCAAGATGATGTTACAGGACTGGACTACATCGACGCCAAGTTTAAAAATAGGAAGTGAAGTGGTAGAGCACGTTGACCGCTTCACTTATTTGGGAAGTACCATCAGCCCCAACGGGCTGATCTCTGACGAAATCTCAGCACGGATACAGGGGGCTCGTTCCGCATTTGCCAGTTTACGCCGACTCTGGCGTAGACGAGATGTTCGACTATCGACCAAAGGGCGGGTGTACTGCTCATCAGTCCGCTCCGTCCTCCTTTATGGCCAGCTGTGAGACCTGGCCACTGAGAGTGGAAGACATGGAAAGACTAGCTGTCTTTGATCATAGGTGCCTGCGCTCCATTTCCCGTGTAAAGTGGCATAATAAGGTGAGCAACATGGAGGTTAGGCGTAGAGTTCTAGGTAAACAGGGGAAATCAATCGACGAAGTTGTGAAGCTACAAAGACTGAGATGGTTAGGACATGTGTTACGTATGCCAAGCCATCGCCTCCCTCAACGAGCAATGTTAGCGGATATAGGGTCAGGCTGGAAAAAAGCTACCGGTGGTCAAACAAAAACTTGGCACCAGTCAATGAAATCCACAACAGTTGGTCTAAGCCACGTAGGAAGGTGTAGACTTCCAGGCTGGGGTCCTCGGGACGGTAAAAATCTATGGTTGGAAACAATTGGTGACATGGCTCAAAATCGTTCTCAATGGCGGAGATGCATCCACTCCTTGTGACTTATGATCTCCAATGAAACTGTTTTGTTCTTCGTTATTACTCCTCCTTTGTCTCACCCTTCTGCTCACAGTTTCTATTATGCTTTTATTATACTTTCTTCTCTTGCTTCGCGTGCTACACGGAGTGTGGCGACTTGAACTGGTGCACATTTGTGCAAAGTTCTATGTCGAAAACTGACAGACAGACAAATAATGTATAGTAATCCATTATTGAGTAATTGGGAAGGAGCGACATTATTGGTAATAATTACTCAGAGGTGTCTTCAAGAGTAAAAATAAAATTTAGGAATTACGTAGTACTGAACGGCGGCACAAAGGAAGAAAGGGTCAGAAATTTGATAATGTTAAAATTTTTATTGAATGAGAAGAAAGGTATTTGAGTAATCATTTAACAACTGTGAAGAAATTGGGAAAATTCACAAAAGGAACATGTGAGAGTGATAACAGTGAATTAATTAATAAAGTAAAAGCAAATTTATCATTAAAAATAAAGATAAAAAATTACAGGGAATAACTAATTAAGAGGTTGACACCATGGGTTAATAAGTAACTAGACAAACTTTTTCTGTACATAGAGTTCTCAGTTGTATTGACGAATTACCAGCGCCTCCGCCTCCATTCACAAATGTCGAAACCTAACGCCCTTGGTACCAGTTGTTGTCACCCAGTAGATAATCTTGAAAGACGACTCTGGTGGAGCTGCGTTGCTTGAGTTCACTAATTACTTGAAAATTAAGTTAGTAATTGTCTTGCATCGTCCTTTTTCTAGCCATGCCGGATAATGTTCAGAGATACATTTAGAAAGTGCACGTTTTGTGTGACCAGTATAACTAGCTCCACACGAGCAGGTGAATTTATAAACACACATTGAAGTGGCCCAAAAACTGCAGTTTATCCTTCACACATCCATTGATCATTTGTCGGCCGTAAAAACTGATCCATAGCTCAGGCGAAAAGATGGCCTTTTTTCAGTGATCTGTATAAGCGGTTCTTCAGAATATTATCACCTGCGATAGCCCCTTTAAATTTAGCGTCCATAAATTACAGTTTCTTTGATACCTTTTGGGTTCTTTCGGTCTTTCGTTTTACTTTCAGGTTTTTTCTCGATGAATCATGAAGGATATCCATTTTCAATGAGAAGTTCTATGAGTCCTTCCAGTCCCCCGTCGATTGTATCACTGGTGCATATCCTTCTTATTGTTTGAGTATATGGAGTGGATCAGATTCTTCTTCTCAAAGGGACCTAACTACGAAAATTCGTGTACTAACCATTCCATGTTAATTTCCTGTAGATTGATCTTTGAAGAGAACGTCATATCTCCTTTTTAGCTAAACATCTAAAAACAATTGAATGCTGAGTTCATCTATAATTTTCGTCACTGAAATGTCTTTTATTTTCTTCATTACTCTGGGTATTTTCGGTGATCTACGAGTTCTTCGGTCAGGGGTCTAACCCGGACCATCTTTGTGATTGTTGAGCAGTCTACGCTTGAACAGACTGCGTCTAATACATAATATTCGGTTAGCTATAATAAGGCCGAAGATGTTACTGAGTTTCATTTGGGGTCCTCAGGACGGTAAAAACCAATCGCTGGAGACAATTGGTGATATGGCTCAAAATCGTTCTCATTGGCGGTTGGCTCAGATGCATCTACTCCTTGTGACCTATGATTTCCAATGAAACTATATTGTTCTTCCGTATTACTATTCTTTTTGTCTCAAATCTCTGTTTACTTTGTCCAGTTTGCATTCATTTTTATTTTCTTCTCCTGGTCAGTGTGCTACATGGAGTGTGGCGACTTGAACTGCTGCACATCGGTGCAAAGTTCTATGTGGAAACCAGTCAGTCAGTCTAATAGTGAAAAGTTCTTGGTCGAGTATTAAAGCTTAAGGAGGGAGACAGTGTACTATTTTTACACTAATTCCTTATATTACTCTGCTGGTTGACTGAAAACCTGGGATATGTTTCTTTCTTTTATTAAGGTCACTAAATAAGTCGAATCGTTACCACCTGTCTAAATCTCATACCTCATGTAGAGTCTCAACAATCATGAGGGGTTTTGATATTGTTAGTGTAATTGTAGAACAGGGCACGTCGGTGCCATAGTGGTTAGGACACTCGCCGGCCATATACATGGTCAAGGGTTCGATCCCCAACCGACGCATCCCCTTCACCTCGCCAAACCAGTAATAAAAGTCGGTAAAGAGGAAAGGTTGAGTATAAGGCTAGCAACTTCATCCTGTAAAAATAATAAACACTGCTACAGAAACTTCAAACCTCTAGCTTCAAGCCCTATGTTCCACTGGAACGTGAAGGAAAAAAAGTATAGAACTTGGTCACTGTGTTAAAGTGTAATTGCATCTTAGATAAGTTTATTTCAAATATCACACAGCGATGCAGTATTTACAACTAGGTAAACTTTTTTGAGCATAAATTATTCCTCATAATCATATCGATTTTACTCATACAGCTTCATAATTTGTTTTATATATATATATATATATATATATATATATATATATATATATATATATATATATATATATATTCTGTCTATTCTATCTCTCCAAATCCCCTCTGTTGTTTGTTACCAATTTCCATATCTCCGGTATAGGCGCTGCGTCATTCCATTTAGAGAGACATAAAGACATAGAGATACAAGACAAATTGTGGAACTGTTTATGACTACGCTTATTATGGTTTTGACTATCTTTCAGTTTGCATAACAGTATTTTTGTTATAGACAGCATCTACTTTCTTGAGTGTGATTCAATTTAACTGGCTAAAATGCATGTTAGTACATATTTTTACTTTATTTTATGTGGTTGTTTATTTTTCTTTTTCTTAAATTTTAGTTAGAAGATAAGGCTGAAATATTAACTCGTGAATTATTTGCTTCAAGACAAGATTTTCAAGATGCTTTAGAAGAGAAAACGCATTTAGAAAATGAAGTTCTTCAGGTGAGAGGTGTTGTTTTTTTTGCTGAATTTTCACGAATTACCGTTTTTTTTTATTCGTTTACGTTCCCAGTGGAAGATAGGGGGCTTCAAGTTTCGGTAGCAGTGGTGTTTATTTTTACTGGATGGTGGAGGGGGGGTTGCTAGCCTCATAACCAACCTTCCGTCTTAACCAGTTTTATTACTACTGGCTTAGAGATGTGAGGGGATGGGTCGGCGGCCCGTGGTCGGACAGCATTCTCCCGGTGTGTGCCACGGACGCACCTACTAATTACTGTACGATTGTATATCTTTATATTGATGTGTGTTGCTGCTTGTATATTACGCCACATGTGTAGTGAAGGTCTGTTTATACAATATGTTCACTGAAAATCTCTATTCAGACATACAGACAAAGAAGACTCATTATTCATCGGGAAGACTCAGTTGTTTTATTTATCGCACCTGCAAGATCTTAGTAACTGCTATCAGAACAAATGTAAAGTTGTTAAGATTAGTGTGTGTTTTAGTCAAAATACATTGAAGGTATAGTAAAATTGAAAACTTATAGACACAGAGTAGCGTGTTAAGATAAAAGTGGTTAAGGAACTAATTCTTGTCCAAAAGAGAATAGAAAAATGAAGGCCCTGATAGTGCTTATGTAGTAGAGTTAATATCTCTGTTTTGTCAGTTAATGATGCAATATAAGTGGATTAAGACCATGAAAAGGAGAGTGGTTGGACAAAATTTTCTTCTGTGTACATAGCTGTGGCTCTGGTGGACGCATGGTGATTTCTGTAACCTATTTTTTTCACCTGATAGATAACATTAAATTATTAGGTTGCGGATATAAGATGGCCAGTCTCAACCAGATGTTCAATCAGTGTGCATTTTATAGGTCCACCTATACTTCTTTATAACCACTCAGGATAGTACTCATGCATAAATTTAAACAGAACCCGCGTTGAACGCCTGATATGCCCAGCTTCATAAGAGCCAGTAAACTGATAAGCACACAACTTCAGGGTCTTGTGCTTTAAGCTGTTGAAAAGTAATGATATATGTAACACTCGCTATACAACTGTGGTAAGTGGAACCACCGAAAAGTGTCATTTTTCTTTTAAAATAAAATACCTTCAACCTTATGCTATCACGCTACTATACTGATTAGATCGAGCAGTATTAGCTGACAAAGGATTAGATTGGAAATTAGTTAGAGGTGATCAGACTAAAATCTGACATCAGTTCATGAAGTTTTTAATATTTGGTTCCTGTTGCGTGGGTAGGCGTAGACTGCCTGGCTGAGGTCCTCTGCATGCTATAAATCAATAGCTGTGGATACCAGTGGTGATACGACTCGAAATCGTCTTCAATGACTCAGATGCATTCATTATTTGTTATCTTCCCGATGCATTAAGTCCTAATGTTTCTCTATCTTCCTATTCTTTCGAAGTCAAATTTCTGCTTAGCATAGTTCTTTTGAATCTCGACTCTTTGAGCTGAGATCATGTATAGTATCTCTCTCCTCTATCTTTGTATACTATATTTGAGTGTGACAAGTTGGACTGCTGCATTCCTGTGCAAAGTTTCACGCAATCAGTTAATCAGATTCGGTAATTATATCTTTATGTATATCTTTTTATTATTATTATTATTATTGTTCCCTTGGGTTCCTAGTGGAACATAGGGCTTCAACTGCACGTCTTCACTTGCTTCTGTCTTCTGCTGTACGTTTCACCTGCATCCATGTTAGTCTATACTTTTTCAACTCCTCTTCACACTACCTCCTCCATATCACCCTTGCACTGACGTCCCACTCGCCACCGCTTCCCTTTCGGTCTGGTTCCACTCGAGCAACGGCTTGACGCACGATGTCACACAGCGGCCTCCTCAGCGAGCGAGTGTCCAATCTATCTCCACTTTCTCCTGCATATTTGTTGGTTGGCGGTTGGTTCTTGTTTTGTTTGTTTCAGCCATACGTTCTTGTTGGTGATTCTTTCCGGTCCGGCCATCTTATCTTCAGTATAGATCCAGCGAAGACAGTTATTGATGAAGGTCTGCAATAGCCTGTTGGAAATATTCTTTGTGACCCGCCCGCCAAGTTTCCCATCCGATCCGTATGGAAGAACTGACTGACTTGACGTTGTTTGTATTGAAAATCCTACGGAATTTATTTGTTGATGCTGGCTGAGTGACGAAGATTTCCAGATTGGTTTCAGGTTGATTGACGAATGTGTTTCTCGCCTGCCTTCCCGATTCTCGCTCGATTTGACATCCTCGTCCGTTCCGACTGCGTGTAGTTGAGACAATGCTCCCTAGATAAGTAAGTGAATGAAGTAACCTCTTTCAAATCCCTCCTGTTGATGGTGATTGGTGCTGGATGTTGCTGCTGTTGTTGTTGTTGGTTGGTTGGTTGGTTATTTCCATAACTTCCATCTTGTCTATGTTTACCTGAAGTCCTGTCTTCGCTGGCTGCTTCTTCGACCAGTTTGTCGGTTTTCGCTTGTAAGTCTTCGATTTTGTGTGACATCAAGCATGAATCATCCACTCGCGAAATCTAGGTCTTCTAAGTTCTTCACGCCGGTCCAGGATATCCCTGTCTTCTCGTTTCCAACTGTCTGACGCATAATCCAGTCTACCACAATTAGGAATATCACTGGTGGGACTTACTGACTCCCTTCACAATTGATACGTGTTTGCATTAAAATTAAATTCGCTATTTCCAGCATTTTTTGTAGTATTTTATTCTTTCTGATATGATATCGTTGAGAAAAAAAGAAGCTATCAGTGATAAGTGAGTAATTCTGATTTCACTGTCCCTTCTTCGTTTTATCCCTTGATAATTTGATCAGATCCCTGAAACTTCTTATGCTTTGTACATTTCCTCTCTGTTTGTTTGATAAACACACGATTAGCTGTTCACTTTACTTTCGTTCGTGTATTGTACTCATATGTACTTCCTGTATAATCTACAAAAAACAATATGTATGTTAGGTGATAAAACCAGTCCTTTTTTTACTTTGGTCAACGATAGTTGATTACGGCTTGATATCGGTTAGAGAACTATTGAAAATCAGGGAGTACTGGACAGCTGTTTCATCCTAGTTTGGGAATCATTGGCAGTACGCACCCACCACAAGGGTTCGAACCCAGGACCTTCCGGTTATAAGGCCAACGAGTTCGTATACTATTCAGCCACTCGGACTCTGTTCAATCCGTGATCAGCTCGTAAAAATTAAAAAATAATCCTTACAAACCAACTTTTGAAAATTAATCCGATGCTTGCTCTAGTGACTTGCTACAGGATGGAGTTCTGGTGAAGAAGTCGTGTTCAGATGAGGTCCATCCAGTCAAGTGTGAGGATGGATTTCTTACCGATGACATTGGTTGGTGTCAGTTGCGCTAAATCACAAATTGGTAGAAGTTAGAATTCATGAACTGGCGATTGAATTAGGTCCCAGTGGCTGAATGGTATACGAGCTTGCCTTGTAACCGGAAAGTTCCGGGTTCGAACTGTAGACGTGGAAGGGTACTGCCTATGATTCCCAAAAGAACTAGGATGAAACAGCTGTCCATTACTCCTTGCTGGTTTTCAATGGTTCTATAACTGATATCAATCCGTGATCAACTCGTAAAAATAGTCGATTAGTTGTCATGTGACAGCATAACACAGTGGTATTTGATGGCAAAATGGTGTACATTGATGACTTCTTCTTCTCCTTTTGTTCACCTTAGATACTTTCTGCCTAATTTCACCAGGATCTTTATTCGTCCTCTTGGCAAATTAAATCGTTACTCCTCTATTCAATATTCTTGAAAAAGATATCACACACGATATACTACTTACAAATTCTTGTCAGTAGCACACTTCGTAGTCATTTATATAATGTTCATCCCTATTTGAAATAACCATGAATTATATATATATGTACGTGTAGTGTTTTATTATCGTTTCTATTTTTTTTCTATCTTCCGTTTGTATGGTTTAGGTAAAGAAAATGTTTCGTACTGCACTGGAAGAGAATTCCGCTGAATTGGAAAGACATCGAAATATTTTTGAGTGTTATAAAACAATCACAACAGAATTAAATAATTATCTAGTGCATGCTAGTCATAGTAATTCTACAAACTCTACAGATCCCTATGAATATGATCCATTGTTTTTAAATTTAACATTTGATCTATTACAACAAGCATTACACTGTAAAGCCTGTATGCCTATTATAGAAAATTATATTGAAAAGTCAAACAATATCATCAATACGACAACAAATGATCCATCGTGTGTTATAGAAGATGAAGTTGTCGTTATTGTTAATAATACATCAGAACATGTAGGTTCATCTTTGTTTCTTGTTTCAGATTGGCATTGCTTTATATACATGTTGTTGCTTTTTTTCAAATTTGGTTTTAAACAAACCAAGAACTACATTTTTAGCAGAATAATGGGGTACCATCATTTATTTCGTTGGCTTCTCATCAGCTGCTTACAGCCTAAATAAATTATGAGGTTTAAGTACAGACATGTTTTAACATACTTGCAAATTTTACATGTTGTCAGTTGACAGAAAATTCCACAATTAGTAAACAGTGCTCAGAAGATTGCGCTTATATAGTTTTCACACAGGCAGTTCAAGTTAAAACAAAATAAATGTATGCAGAAAATGGTAAAGGAGTTACGTAATAAAGATGAGATGTGCGTTTAATGCATAGTGACTAGTAAGTTAGGTAACAATGTACTGAGTTGAGCTCAAATCATAGAAACAAAAGACAAGCAAAATTACAGATTATAAAAGGGAGGGTGAGGTTAAAGACAAAGATTACGTAATCAGATGAGAGAAAAAAAAGCATCCAGTTACCAAGGCAAGGAAAGACTAATAACTGCTTCTTTCTGAACACATAGATCTGGTTTCAAGCGTTTGATAGAAATCGCTTCAGCAAACTTAAGGAGAATTGAGCTCTTTTGCCTATTGATAATTTTGAACGACTTTTCGACGTCCACCTCATGACCCGTGTCGAGGAGATGCCTGGCGATGGCACTGTTTAAAGCATTTGTTCCCTTTAGACGTAAGCTTTTTGGTACGTGTTCAGAAAATCGTAGATATGCTCTTCTTTCTGTTCTTCCAATGTAACTGCTCCCGCAGATACACGTAAATTTGTATATACAGTTGGAGGTAACATGAGAAGGATATCTATCGATTTTTGATTGCACCAAAGAGCAAGTTGTTCGATAGACGGGAACGAGCTTGGCTGCAGGATAGGCTATGGCTAGTGATGTACTCAGCCTTCTGTTGATCATCGCTGCAATGTTTTCACCTTTATAGTCAAGCTGAACGTAGACTGGCTTTTTACCCACTGTGATTTGTTTTACATTTGTGACTTCAGATTTTCCATACTTGTTGATGAACTTTTGAGGATACCCATTTCTCTTCAATATCTTTTCAAGGAACTCAAACTCCTCCTCTAGTTTCTCTATAGAGCATATTCTCCTCGCTCTATAGTACAGAGTCTTGACTAGACCACGTTTAAAGCTATTTGGACAAAAGCTATTAAAATGCAAGTATTGTCCTTTCCATGTGGGCTTTCGATAAATTGACTTTTGAAGACTACCGTCTTCTAGGCGTTCCATGGCGATGTCGAGGAAGTGAAACTTTCCGTCACTTTCATGTTCCATAGTGAATTCAATATTGGCGTGTGCACCATTGAATAATCTTAGTAAGTGTGAAGCATGACTTTCATTTTTGCACACTATAAATGTGTCATCAACATAACGACAGTAGGAAGATGTTTCGTCGATTGCATGTTTCAACTTTGTTCTTTCAAGGTTTGACATGAATATATCTGCTAGAACAGGGCTAAGTGGACTGCCCATAGCTACACCATCTATTTGGCGGTAAAACGTGTTGTCAAATTGGAATTGCACATCCATGGTACACATAAGCAGTAGGCGTTTGAATTCCGATTCTGGGAGTGGGAGAAGATCGGACTGCTGACAAATGATCTCAATAGTTTCATTGATTGGAATCATTGTGAATAAGGAGGTTACATCAAATGGCTCTATAGAGAAACTAGAGGAGGAGTTTGAGTTCCTTGAAAAGATATTGAAGAGAAATGGGTATCCTCAAAAGTTCATCAACAAGTATGGAAAATCTGAAGTCACAAATGTAAAACAAATCACAGTGGGTAAAAAGCCAGTCTACGTTCAGCTTGACTATAAAGGTGAAAACATTGCAGCGATGATCAACAGAAGGCTGAGTACATCACTAGCCATAGCCTATCCTGCAGCCAAGCTCGTTCCCGTCTATCGAACAACTTGCTCTTTGGTGCAATCAAAAATCGATAGATATCCTTCTCATGTTACCTCCAACCGTATATACAAATTTACGTGTATCTGCGGGAGCAGTTACATTGGAAGAACAGAAAGAAGAGCATATCTACGATTTTCTGAACACGTATCAAAAAGCTTACGTCTAAAGGGAACAAATGCTTTAAACAGTGCCATCGCCAGGCATCTCCTCGACACGGGTTATGAGGTGGACGTCGAAAAGTCGTTCAAAATTATCAATAGGCAAAAAAGCTCAATTCTCCTTAAGTTTGCTGAAGCGATTTCTATCAAACGCTTGAAACCAGATCTATGTGTTCCGAAAGAAGCAGTTATTAGTCTTTCCTTGCCTTGGTAACTGGATGCTTTTTTTTTCTCTCTCTCATCTGATTACGTGATCTTTGTCTTTAACCTCACCCTCCCTTTTATAATCTGTAATTTTACTTGTCTTTTGTTTCTATGATTTGAGCTCAACTCAGTACATTGTTACCTAACTAACTAGTCACTATGCATTAAACGCACATCTCATCTTTATTACGTAACTCCTTTACCATTTTCTGCACACATTTATTTTGTTTTAACTTGAACTGCCTGTGTGAAAACCATATAAGCGCAATCTTCTTAGCACTGTTTACTAATTGTGGAATTTTCTGTCAACTGACAACATGTAAAATTTGCAAGTATGTTAAAACATGTCTGTACTTAAACCTCATAATTTATTTAGGCTGTAAGCAGCTGATGAGAAGCCAACGAAATAAATGATGGTACCCCATTATTCTGCTAAAAATGTAGTTCTTGCTTTGTTCAAATTCATTAAGGGGAATAAATGTAACAAATTTTGTTTTGTTTTCCATTATCAAAATTCATCACGGGGAACGCATATATGAAATTTTTTTGAGAAGACCACTGCCTACGAAATCGAAAAGGTCTCTAAGTCAGATGATGGGGCTACGTTACAGAGTAGATATGGGATCCACAAAGTTCTAGATGTATGAGCAGTGTTTGTAAACGGGTGGCTTTCTACACCAGTTAGTGAAAAAAGTCCATCATCTCAAAAGAATCTCTGTCGGACAACATAATCTCATATTGAGTCTTCATATCGTTATGTTTCTCCTCTGAAGTTCCATTTGGCTACGTATAGCAGCTTAATTAACACGTTGAATATTGTTTTCAGCACGCATACTTCAATCTGTTGAAGTGAGCTTTTGGATTCCTCCACGAGTTTATTATTCATCTCTCGTGGTCGGTGACCACCTTGAACGTGATTGGTTGTTTTTGTGTGTTTTCACACCTTCCAGGTTACTTGTATTCGAACTGATTGTTTCTTTGACTTGGACTTTGACCCTTTGTGTGTGAGGTTTCTTTCTTATCGGTTGATAAATTTTGTTTATCTCGATGTGTCTGTTGATTGATAATAATAATAATAATAATGTTCAAAAGAAACCAGTTAGATAAAACTCACATCTTAATAAACGACGTCTTCAACGACATCAAATTCACAAGAAAAGAGGAATCCGAGAACCAAATCCTATTTTTGGACGTCTTAGTCAAGCGAAGAACTACAGGGGAATTAGAAACTCAAGTTTATAGGACATCAACTCACACAGACCAAATACTGAATTACAACAGCAACAATCCAATAACACACAAAAGGAATTGCATACAAACACTATTCAAGAGGGCCGGGATTCACTGCAGCACTCCCACCTTAAGGAGAATTGAAGAAAGATATTTCATGGACGTCTTCCAAAAGAATGGATATCCCCGGAATTTCATCAAGAGACATATACCCCCAAGCCAACCTACCAAAGCAAAATCCCCCAAGGAAAGCACAAAGAAAATCACCCCACCATATATAAAGAATATCTCAGAATTCACTACAAGACTCTTCAAACTTTCAGGAATTGATGTCATACACAAACCAACAAGATCCCTTCACTCAGTCAGTCCTGTGTCAACCAAAAGACTCAACAACGAAAGAGGATAAAACCAACATCATCTACAATTAAACTATAATAACTGCGAAAAACACTACATTGACCAAAGTGGAAGTCCCCTTCGTCTTCGTATCCATGAACATAAGCTAGCCGTCAAAAGACATGACATCCACTCCCTCATATCGCCTCACTACATACAGACAACTACGGACATCAATTCGACTGGGACAACGTTCAAATATTGGACAGAGGAAACAACAAGAATGCTAGAGAATTTTTTAGAAGGCTGCCTGGCATTCCAGTGAATCATCAATCAATAGACACACCGAGATAGACAAAATTTATCAACCGATAAGAAAGAAACCTCACACACAAAGCGTCAAAGTTCAAGTCAAAGAAACAATCACTTCCAATACAAGTAGCTTAGAAGGTGTGAAAACACACAAAAACAACCAATCACGTCCAAGGTCACCAGGATAGATGATTAATAAACTTGTGGAGAAACTTAAAAGCTTACTTCAAATTGAAGTATGCTCTGAAGAAGTCGCCTAGTAGGGCGATGAAAGCTTCACAAGTTCACTATCCAGCTCAGAGAACACAACCACATCAAAAAGTGTAGATTTCACCATGAATCGATATCAGTCGGCAAACTATTGCAATATATGAAGTACTGCATAAGTGTTTTATCCTAGTTTAGAAGTCATCGCTAGTGTGCACCGATGACCCTACAACCTCCAGTTTACGAGGCGGTCATGTTACACGATTTGGTCACTAGGGTCCAGCATCCAACGGCTCAATAATTCTAAATTCTTCTAATTCGTGATGTATAGTACTACCGCCATCTAATATAAACTACGAATTTCCGTTTTCATGCCTGATTTAATGAACATGATCTGTAGGGCCCTATGTATTTACTCAGTGTTGTAGACTAACTGAAAAACATACCTAAATCAGCATTTTTTAGTGAAAAATCGTAAATATTCACTCTAATCAATAAATTCGAATCCGTCTCATCATGGAGCAGACTGAACTTATTACAGTGTAGTTTGCCCCCGGATTATTCACTGGGTGAGTA